CACAGTGATTTTATGCAGATCACTTTCACTTAGTTTCAGAGCTTCCGATGGACCATTGAATAGTGGTTTATTTCCTGATGAAGAGTTAATTCTGAAACAGTAAAATGAACATTACATTGAAGTTATCTGTATTAGACTTTAATCAAGTACATAAATGTATAATATTGTATTTTCTATACTTTTTTGACATATCTTGGGATACACTGTTGTGAGTTGATCTTGAGTGACTTCTATGATGAGACTCTTCTGATCTACTTCTGCTTCTACTTTTGCTACGACTTACATGTAATGATTTTCCTTCGTAAGGCAGTCCAAGCTCTTTTGCTCTTCTTCTTTGATACTCTTCAATTTTCTTCTGTTTGAGTCGTTCATGTTCTCTTATCTTCTTCTGCTGTATCATCCATAATCTCCTCCTCCTTTCTTTTTCATGCTGAGAAATAGAATCTAAAGGACCTTTTTCCATGGCTGTAAAATGGCACGCACATTCATAAACTCGAAGACTTTTATTTAAATCTAATAAAATAATTTATTTTAATATAATTGCATTCGTTAATTAGTAAAAAACGAGTTTCACTACAGAACAAAGTAAGAAGCACTATACACTTGCACTAAATATAAAGAAATGAACACGCGAGAAAATTACTTTTAAGCAGTCACAGCACGTCTACATTTGTGAAGTAGAAGAAACGTTGACAACTACTACACTATTTCCTAACTATTATTATTAATTAAAATTATCAATATTATATTGAAAACGAACAAACAAAACAACATAAACTTGGAGGTCGGAATAGGTTAAGGTGCGAACGATCAACTACGCGATGTCACCACTCACGGCCAGGATGGACACACCCCCCTTTCCCTAGCCGGCAAAGTGTAATGGACAGTTTGAGAAACTTTTTGAGACGACATGTGTTATTTGTTGTGTCTTTGGCGAGAAAACTAATTCCCATACCTGAACGAAGGCAATGAATTTTGAAAATATATCACAATCTTTATGGAAGCTTTTAAGCTTTTAAATAGTTTTACACACCTTGTGAGCGATTAGATTCTGCGAGTTGCTATAAGTAAGCGAGTATCCGGACAATACACCAGTCTTTCTGTCGGCAGTGAAGATGTAAGTAGCACGTCCAGCAGAAGTTGCAACAGCGCTTGCACTTTCTGGAAAGACGTGCGCTCGGTCGTGCTCATCCAAAATAACTATACCACGTAAAAAAATATCGGTTAATGCATGTAACAAAATTGACTGCTTGATTTGGTAATTTAACTTTGTCAGTCTATCAGTACTGGATTTACTTTTTTTTTATATATACACTGGATTATTATATATATATATAATTTGATATATATACTGGATCAGTAGCTGTCCGTTTATTGGGTTGAAAGTGTATATCATTCCATTTCCAGTGGTCTACAAAATTAATAATACTCTTAATTTTACGTCGACTTTAAAGGTCGCGATTGAAAATGCGGATAAAATTAAAAATTACGTTACCTGTTGCAAGCAATGCGCACTGAGGTGAATGCGGCAAGTGCCTACTTCCTAAACATACAAAACTATCTTGTCAAAATCCTGAGATAAGCCTTTGATGTTATTGACTCGTGATTGCCAAATTATTCAACCTTTTGTTGACTCTATTCCGTACAGCTATAATAATAAATTGTTAATATAAGTCACACGAAAATTAATATCAGTTTATCTATCGTTCAAGTTTGATATAACAGTTTCACATTCCCTGACGATGTAACAGCTACAATCACTTTGTGTAAACTAAATCGGCTCGTTGATTTGATTACTGTGGTTCAAAGCCCAAAGTTCCTTGCATGAAAAAGTTTATCTGGTTTGCTTCTAAAAGAGAAGATAAATCAACAATTTAGATATTAACAACTCAAAAAAATACCGCAATAACTTAAAAATTAAAGCCTAGCGAACGCAATACATCAGTTTATTTAGTCAGTTCAACGTTTGACAAAACTAAAACAATTAAATAAATTAAACTAATAAAAAATCTATTTGTAAAGAGTTAACACGCTAAGAAAATATTGTTATCTAATAATAATTCAACAATATAGTTGATTTTATATTGATACTTAAATGCCTGAAAATAATATTTTCAAACGCTTAATAAACACTAGAACCCTCATGCTGACGAAAAATTTAAGACAAAAATTTCAAATTTTTAAAATCATGCTTTTATAAAAAAATCACAATGAAAAATCAAACTCCACACTTAAATGTTGATGTTGCCTATACGTATATGCTACTTACATGAACTATTAACATCATGACCGGACAGCAACCATTCGTAAAAGAAAGTTAGTTAATATATTGATTTATTGAATTAGAATAAGATGTACTTGAAACTCAAAATTGACGGAATTTCATTAAACTGTTAACTAAAACAATTAAAATTATATTGATCGTGCTTGATCACGATCTGACATTGGCAACTTAACAATTTCAACGGTTACAATATTTGTGAGATAGATTCCTCTCTAGTCTAGATAATATTTTGTTGGACTAAACTGATAGTATATTGTCCTCAGAGGAGAGTAAAAATCTACACGTTTTCCTTCTTGACACTTGTTGTGATTAACAAGAACAATCGGCTGCAACGATCGCAGGCTTAAATAGTGAACTATTTGTTACATATGCTAATTTTTCAGATTGAGCTTCATTTATGCTAAGTTCAGTTATGGTAATTCTTATAATCTAAAAACAAATTTCATTTATTTTAAAATATGTAATATTTATTGGAATCAAATATGTAAATATTTCTTGCATCGCTAGATTCGTATATTAATCTCTTATATTCACCTTTTGATATGATGACTCTAATACTACTTTTTTGCTATGTAAATTAATAACATACAAAAAGTCTCTCCATCCATATCTCGTGAAATAATTTTTGGGCTTTTCTCAAATAATACTACGCGCTTTCTGTTATTACTGCCGGCTCTAATAGATATTACAGATATGTTTCCTGGAAGTATAATGTAAACTTGTAAGATCCTTGAGCACCGGCGCCAAATATAGTGTTAATTGTTATTGACTGAGGCTCCGATTTAGGTTCAAATATATTGATATAAAACAATAGTGCTAAATTGTTGTCACCTTTCAAGCAAACATAATTTTATGCTGCTCAAATACACCTGTAATAAGTTATCTCCATAAATAAAAAACTCTATTTTAAAATAATTAAGATAATTTTGATATAAAATATTTACTCGGCTTCTTGAGATATGAAAGGTGCAGAAATTTTCTTATTTTTCAATTTTTCTCCAGTTTTACTATGATATGAGGTGACCTCAATACCATTATTATAAATTAGTAAAATGTGATGTAAGGTTCCATCTTTCATGTGCCATTAAACATCTTCAATTCTGCAAACATTACAACAGTATTACTTGATTGAATTGCCTATGAAAATACACACAAAATGCATTTTATATTTTATCGAACATGTAACATAAACAAATTCTATCAATATCTCTTTACAAGATATTGAAAAAATATAGATTTATGAAAAATTTTGTGTATCATACAATTTATAATTGTAAATTTAATAGTGCACAGCAAAAAAATTAACAAAGTAAAACCTTTCACTATTGTAAAGCCCTGCTGTAGAATATGATATAAATAGAGAATCAATTCTGAAATAGACACTACAAAATTTAAATATGTATAAAAGTGATTTTTAATACTTTTTCATTGGATTATAAAATATTTAAATTCATGTAGCATTAAACTCATTAGTTGTCATATCTATTATCATTAGTCGAAGAGTAGATTAATAAAAACTAGTTTGAAATTATAAATTGAGTGAATTATGAGAAAAAATAATACCTGTCTTGATTTTGTTCTGCTAATGTCCATTCATTTATTATATGTCCAGTAGCTAAATTGCAATAACGGACTAAAGCTGGGACACCATTTACTGAAATCAATTCTCCACTTGTAACATTACAGAATGCTTGTATTCGACCAGCACATCCTTTTTATAGTACTCTCCTCCATAATAGTTGTCCGACATTAAGATACATATGTCAATTTTCAATTTATTCTAACAAACATATTATTCAAATTATTAAATTTGAATATAAAAATACCTATTTTAACACTTAAAGCTGCAATTACATTTTCTTCAGTTGTAACAACTACTTTTTTAGCCATTGAAACCGTATCAAAACTAGCAAACTTCATTTTTCCTACATAATTTTGTCTCCTGGAATAAAAATGAATGATGAAATATTTTTTATTGAAATTAGTAAGATTATTCATCAAATTATGAATAGGTTTTAATAAAACTAATTCAAAACATTTTAATTAAATGCACTACATAGATAATCAATATAGCTATATAAGGGGTATATAGCTATATTTTTATCCGATATTAAATACTAGTATTTCCTACAATATTAAATAAATAATAATTATATTAAATAAAAATGAACGCACCTTGAAAATATATGGAAGAGAACTGAAATCAGAATTTCGCTGCAGCACACACAATACAAAGGAAGACTTCGCAAATCGAATAACCGATATTAACAAAAGACGATCTGGATCATGCGCATGTATATGGGCGTATACAAATTTTGAGATATCTTAATATGTATATTAATTTATTGTATAAATAAATAAAAAATATCCAAAATTACTACTAAAAGATGTTTATTGCATCTCAAATACAAAATAATATAAATTTATTTTATTTTAATTCAATGCACGCCGTGCTTTCATAATGCGTGCAATATGCTTTCATTTGAAATTATATTTTGCGGGGCGGCAAAATGACAGCATTATGAAGGCACGGCGTGCAGCGCTTCGTGACAGCATTATGCCTACATTCTGACGGCACGGCTTGCGTAGCTTTTCGTGCTCGCACTATGCCCGCATTATGACGGCACGCCGTGACGAGCACGCGCGTGCCGAACCGTGCCGGCACGCTGTGTTATCTAGGATTCTCTCTTACTCCCTGGTAGTGACATCGCGTCGTTGATCGTTCGCACCTTAACCTACTCCGACTTCCAAGTTTATGTTGTTTTGTTCGTTCATTTTCAATATAATAGTGATAACTTTAATTAATAATAATAGTTAGGAAATAGTGTAGTAGTTGTCAACGTTCCTTCTACTTCACAAATGTAGACGTGCTGTGACTGCTTAAAAGTAATTTTCTCGTGTGTTCATTTCTTTATATTCAGTGCACGTGTATAGTGCTTCTTACTTTGATCTGTAGTGAAACTCGTTTTTTACTAATTTACGAATGCAATTATATTAAAATAAATTATTTTATTAGATTTAAATAAAAGTCTTCGAGTTTATGAATGTGCGTGCCATTTTACAGCCATGGAAAAAGGTCCTTTAGATTCTATTTCTCAGCATGAAAAAGAAAGGAGGAGGAGATTATGGATGATGCAGCAGAAGAAGATAAGAGAACATGAACGACTAAAACAGAAGAAAATTGAAGAGTATGAAAGAAGAAGAGCAAAAGAGCTTGGATTGCCTTACGAAGGAAAATCATTACATGTAAGTCGTAGCAAAAGTAGAAGCAGAAGTAGGTCAGAAGAGTCTCATCAGAGAAGTCACTCAAGATCAACTCACAACAGTGTATCCCAAGATGTGTCAAAAAAGTATAGAAAATACAATATTATACATTTATGTACTTGATTAATGTCTAATACAGATAACTTCAATGTAATGTTCATTTTGCTATTTCAGAATTAACTCTTCATCAGGAAATAAACCACTATTCAATGGTCCATCGGAAGCTCTGAAACTAAGTGAAAGTGATCTGCATAAAATCACTGTGAAAATTCATAGAAAAATACCAGCTTCGTCAGTCGAAAATACTGAAATTAATCGTGCAGTTGTTAACCCAGAGGAGATAAAGTTAAAAAGAAGAGAGGGTAAATTTATGTTTTATTGTTATTTCTATCTGAAAATATATAGGTTCAACTAAGAAGATCAAAATTGGAGCCAGTATTTTGCAGATTTTATTAGATGTACTTGCATAATAGTTTCCATTTCCTTCAAGAAGCAAACTTAGATCATTGATAAATTTTATGACGAATATAGTTGCAGTATATAAGATGCATATTTTATTGTTTATTAATTAAAAATTAATACAATTAACAAGTTTATTCAAATACTCTATTCTTCCAAGATAATTTCATGTGATACTTCATCAACAGTGGAAGAGTTACTAATTGCCAATTTTTCTAAAAACCAGTTTCAATCTATTTTTGGAATCCATTAGAAAAACGCCGCATCGTCGAAGCTAGTGGTAGCAGAAGTCTAGGTTTGAATGGTTTCATTTTTTTTCTAGCATATCGTCTATTATTAGTTAAATTCATTCCAAGAAGTATTGTGTTAGAAGAAAGGCAACTTTTGTACGACACTCATGAATGCTTCTTAATTGTAATAAAACTTATTAAATACCATGCCATGAAAGTACAAACGTAATAAGTTATCTTCTGCTAAGCAGAAATTTTATTTAAGAATTATGCAGATAGATATTTAAAATTATGAATATAATGAATCCTGTTCTTTTATTTACTGATCTTAAAGGGATAACTAACTTCATGACAATGGGAATACCTACCTATTATTTGATATAAATTTGAAAGGTCGTACTTTTGTGCCTATTACAAACATAAATCCAAATACGTTAAGGCAGCTTATTGAATAGACATTCTCACTTCACATGATTGACGAGTCTATTCACTTAAATATCTGCAAATTATATATGCGTGAATATACCCTAAAGTAACAAGCACATGGAACTGGAGCTGTTGTATAATTAGATATGTCAGATTTTACGCACTCGTTATGGTTCTTTTCTTTATTAATCCGTACTTTACCATAGTTATCTTCCTTGACTTTACGGAAAGCATAGTTTGATGTGTAATCGACCTGACGGAACTGTATGAAAAACCTGTACTTGCACCAAGGGAATACAGTAGAGAAACCGCGCACTGTGTGAAATGACGATCTCACTTCCCTCGATTGACATCACGCCGTGCGTCTTTGTCCACTGTGTCCAAGACGACATCGTACTATGAACTTTATACTCGCGTTCTGAGCGTTCTGGTTTGCGATATCCTTTGCGCCGATCAAGATTTGTATCGACATTTGTATGTCAATTCATTTTGGGTAATACATAGTTACCAAAAAGTAGAGTTGCGTCAAGCTTCTAACATGCAGGTTAAACATTGTTTAAAAAACTCTACTGTGAGAAAGAACTTTACAATTTATTACAACAGGAAAAGGAGCGTAACCGATATTCGACCGCGAAGAGGCGAAACCAGCCGAAGTCGAAGTTGAAGAACGCCGCATCGTCGAAGCTAGTGGTAGCAGAAGTCTAGGTTTGCATGGTTTCATTTTTTTTCTAGCATATCGTCTATTACTAGTTAAATTCATTCCAAGAAGTATTGTGTTAGAAGAAAGGCAACTTTTGTACGACACTCATGAATGCTTCTTAATTGTAATAAAACTTATTAAATACCATGCCATGAAAGTACAAACGTAATAAGTTATCTTCTGCTAAGCAGAAATTTTATTTAAGAATTATGCAGATAGATATTTAAAATTATGAATATAATGAATCCTGTTCTTTTATTTACTGATCTTAAAGGGATAACTAACTTCATGACAATGGGAATACCTACCTATTATTTGATATAAATTTGAAAGGTCGTACTTTTGTGCCTATTACAAACATAAATCCAAATACGTTAAGGCAGCTTATTGAATAGACATTCTCACTTCACATGATTGACGAGTCTATTCACTTAAATATCTGCAAATTATATATGCGTGAATATACCCTAAAGTAACAAGCACATGGAACTGGAGCTGTTGTATAATTAGATATGTCAGATTTTACGCACTCGTTATGGTTCTTTTCTTTATTAATCCGTACTTTACCATAGTTATCTTCCTTGACTTTACGGAAAGCATAGTTTGATGTGTAATCGACCTGACGGAACTGTATGAAAAACCTGTACTTGCACCAAGGGAATACAGTAGAGAAACCGCGCACTGTGTGAAATGACGATCTCACTTCCCTCGATTGACATCACGCCGTGCGTCTTTGTCCACTGTGTCCAAGACGACATCGTACTATGAACTTTATACTCGCGTTCTGAGCGTTCTGGTTTGCGATATCCTTTGCGCCGATCAAGATTTGTATCGACATTTGTATGTCAATTCATTTTGGGTAATACATAGTTACCAAAAAGTAGAGTTGCGTCAAGCTTCTAACATGCAGGTTAAACATTGTTTAAAAAACTCTACTGTGAGAAAGAACTTTACAATTTATTACAACAGGAAAAGGAGCGTAACCGATATTCGACCGCGAAGAGGCGAAACCAGCCGAAGTCGAAGTTGAAGAACGCCGCATCGTCGAAGCTAGTGGTAGCAGAAGTCTAGGTTTGCATGGTTTCATTTTTTTTCTAGCATATCGTCTATTACTAGTTAAATTCATTCCAAGAAGTATTGTGTTAGAAGAAAGGCAACTTTTGTACGACACTCATGAATGCTTCTTAATTGTAATAAAACTTATTAAATACCATGCCATGAAAGTACAAACGTAATAAGTTATCTTCTGCTAAGCAGAAATTTTATTTAAGAATTATGCAGATAGATATTTAAAATTATGAATATAATGAATCCTGTTCTTTTATTTACTGATCTTAAAGGGATAACTAACTTCATGACAATGGGAATACCTACCTATTATTTGATATAAATTTGAAAGGTCGTACTTTTGTGCCTATTACAAACATAAATCCAAATACGTTAAGGCAGCTTATTGAATAGACATTCTCACTTCACATGATTGACGAGTCTATTCACTTAAATATCTGCAAATTATATATGCGTGAATATACCCTAAAGTAACAAGCACATGGAACTGGAGCTGTTGTATAATTAGATATGTCAGATTTTACGCACTCGTTATGGTTCTTTTCTTTATTAATCCGTACTTTACCATAGTTATCTTCCTTGACTTTACGGAAAGCATAGTTTGATGTGTAATCGACCTGACGGAACTGTATGAAAAACCTGTACTTGCACCAAGGGAATACAGTAGAGAAACCGCGCACTGTGTGAAATGACGATCTCACTTCCCTCGATTGACATCACGCCGTGCGTCTTTGTCCACTGTGTCCAAGACGACATCGTACTATGAACTTTATACTCGCGTTCTGAGCGTTCTGGTTTGCGATATCCTTTGCGCCGATCAAGATTTGTATCGACATTTGTATGTCAATTCATTTTGGGTAATACATAGTTACCAAAAAGTAGAGTTGCGTCAAGCTTCTAACATGCAGGTTAAACATTGTTTAAAAAACTCTACTGTGAGAAAGAACTTTACAATTTATTACAACAGGAAAAGGAGCGTAACCGATATTCGACCGCGAAGAGGCGAAACCAGCCGAAGTCGAAGTTGAAGAACGCCGCATCGTCGAAGCTAGTGGTAGCAGAAGTCTAGGTTTGAACGGTTTCATTTTTTTTTCTAGCGTATCGTCTATTACTAGTTAAATTTATTAAGAATTATTGTAGAAACTTTATTTAAGAATTATGCAGATAGACATTTAAAATTATGAAGAGAAGGACCGCGAAGAGGCGAAACTAGCCGAAGTTGAAGTTGAAGTTGAAGATCACCGGACGTCGAAGCAAGTTTTAGCAGATGTCAAGGTTTGTACGGTTTCATTCCTGTGTTCACAATCCGAGAGTTAGTAAATTCCATAGCGATTGCGAGTGCGCAAATGCTATAGTGCGCATGATCACATGGGCGTAGTAAGCTAAAGAAGTATAATTTGAATGAATGAACAATATGTGAAAAAAAATAATATAAAAAATGATAAATGGAATTGTAAAATAGAATTTTTCAATTTCCTATGGCGGAAAAATAATTGATGTATTAACCAGTTAAATTTACGTAGAAATTAATAATGAAAAATGATACTCAAATATATATATTCTAATAAATATTATTAGTATTGTCAGAAAGTATCACTAGTTAAATTTAGAGTTGCGTCAAGCTTCTAACATGCAGGTTAAACATTGTTTAAAAAACTCTACTGTGAGAAAGAACTTTACAATTTATTACAACAGGAGAAGGAGCGAAACCGATATTCGACCGCGAAGAATTGAAACCAGCCGAAGTCGAAGTTGAAGAACGCCGCATCGTCGAAGCTAGTGGTAGCAGAAGTCAAGGTTTGAACGGTTTCATTTTTATTTCTAGCATATCGTCCATTGTATTTTAATACCAATCATGGATTTTTGTTTGTATTATTATTATTTAGATAAGAAGCCACGTCAAAAGCGTCGTTCTGTATCGTTGAGCCCTAAACGACATCGTACCTCAAGTCCACACTCGCGTTCTGAGCGTCATGGCTTACGATATCCTTCGCACCGGTCAAGGTTCTTGCCGACGATCGCTTTCAATATTCGTTATTTTGATTATTGCCGTTTTCATACCTTATTTTATGTTGCGGCGTTTAACAAATTCTATCCTTTTTAAAGTATTCTATACTTTGATATACACACTTTATTATAATTTTCTTTTTAGAAAAAAGTTTGGTTTTGAATTAAATTGAATTGTTAGAAAGAAGTAAAACTCAAAAACTTTTTTTTTCTGTAAATTACGTCACGCTTAATATTATTCTACGAATTTTTTATCTACTTTATAAGATGTGCATTTGTTTTTCACAGACATGAAGAACACTACAGGTATCACTTAGAAGATCGTTATTATAAAGACCATAAAGAACATAAAAGTGGCAGGTAATACTTAAATATCCTTTGAATGAATTGCTGTACTTCTTTGCTCATTATTTTAAAGACATAATTCATCTACACGAAATGGAAGTCGAGAAGAATCCCGAAGGTCTAGGTCGCTTGGCAGACGTTCTCAGTCAAGAGATCGTGATTACCGTAGGTCCGAGCGTGATGACTATTCACGGTAATATCAGTTCAATAACCTTGCCAAGAATCAAAATAGTACATTTTAATCAATTGCATTTCTCTGCATTTGTATTTCAGTTCAAGACGGACTGAAAAAGTTCATCGAGAGCTCCGAGCTAGATCTAAAGATAGATCTTACGATCGCCGAGACAGACGAGACTCTTCTGCAGAAAGACACCATTCAACTACAGCTGCCTACATAGAACCGATAACGTATCCTATGTATTTTGGGGTAAGATATTTTATATTGTTGAGAGGCCATCCGCGTCACACGCGAGACGGTGAGAGATGTATACCAAGAGACACACATGTACGAACAGCGAGCTGCAAAAGCGAGTGAGGGAGATGAGAGAGCAGAGCTGGGTTAGCCAATAACCTAACGAGGGCACGTGACCCGATGATACGCAATCAAGCGATCGCGGCAGCTGACAGCTGAAAGTTCGTGGTTTTTTCTTGCGTGCGCTCGACGGTGCATTTGGCTGTTTCACTTTCGTGCGAAACGAACCTTATGTCGATGAAGGTCTTATCCTCGCAGATAGGACCCAGCCCAAAAGGTACGAAGCACAGATTTTGACGACAGTCAAGGATACGCGAAAAAGTCGACCGCGCCATAAGTTCTCCTATCCATCATCTCGCGAGAAAGATTCAATGGATACTCATGGCCACTGAGCAAAGCAATCGAAATAAGATCTTTGTTTATAATATGTTTATTAAAAAGTAAGGCCTTGATATCCTACGAATTCGGCACACGACGGGTTAACTGATTTAATCGGAATAATTAGTCCTTCGTATTTCGGTATTGGACCTCTTCCTTGGCAGAAGAGTTCGCGAGTAATTAAAAGGATCGATCTACGCTGTAACAATATTATTATAAATTCATACAACTTTTAATAGAATTTTTTTTTTATTTGAGAAAATTATATAATAATAATATTTTTATATTGTATTTATTCTTTTTACAGGGCTTCCCACCAAGGCCTGTAATGATACCACCTGCCTTGCCACCGATCAGACTACCGGGCGCAGGAAGGGGCCGAATGCCTCTAGCTCCTATGCGTCCACCTTATCCCCCACGATTCGTACCTCCGGATATGTATCGGAGCATTCTACCTTCTGATCCTCGTACGTATTATGTCATGATGTTTTGTAATGAAACATGACATTGAAAACTTTCTAAATTAAAAAAAAATATATATCAATTAAAAAATAAATATATGATATGAAAATTATTTTACTTTCTGTTGCAGGGTACCCACGAATGTTTTAATTACCTTGATCGTGTTCATGCCAAGTCTTGATTCACGAAATATAATAATTTGTAGTCTTTGATAACTTTAAAATAGTGCATGTTGAGAATTGTCTTAATTAAGAGTATGCATATTTAAGTCGGTTCAATTTTAATTCAGTCAAGTAATTATTCATATAATTTTAAATATTTTTATATATTTCGAGCTTTTTGTATTGAAATTTGGCGTGCTTGGATTTTTATTCAAATAAATAATTACGATTACTATTTGATTTTATATTCAATCTTCAATAGTAATATGTTTTAATGTATTTTTACTGTTAAAGTTTAGTTTTGGACTACAGAATTTGTACTTGGTATGATACAATGCATGAGTAGCTCTTGATTTATGTATGACGGGGACAGATTTGAATATATTGTCAATTCTACGTTACTTTTATACTGTGCCAATAAAAATATTTATTTCATAAAATACATACTGTTATTTACAATTCTTTATCCGATGTTACCTTACAAATCCACTGATACCAATCATCTCTATGTCAAATAAACTTCGTCTTTATCAACGATGTAGTTTTATAAATCATTAGCTAAAAATTCCATTATTCATTCTAGAATAAAATGACAAATCACACATAGATTTCATCCAGTTATAAATAACTTAACGAAGCAGTTAACAAACTAAATGACGGTACGACCGTGATTTTGGCCGTGTAAATGAAACGTAATGGCAATTATTCGTGCACCAAGGTCACGTTTTTTAACTTGAGACTCGAAATTAGGTATGGTGTGCGTATGCTAGCATATAGGCGCTATGGTAAATTACCGTTGAAATCTATAGACCACAAGCATGCCACGTTATTACAACCCATCCGCTTAATTTATCAGTATAATATTCGGTTAGTTGCAAAGCGATTATCGTAAATTCGACACGGAGTAGGTGTATGTATGTATAACCCTGTACAAAGAAACCATTTTTCTATTTTAATAATGTTTACCGATTATTTTAAGAGTGGTGTAGTATTCAGTTACATAAAGATTTCAAATTACAAATAAAGATAAAATTCTAAAATCTAAAATTATTTATTTAGCTGACACATATAATTAATACACTAAATCATGAATTTTGAAATTGATGGTTTCGTTTTACTTGCTATATTGAAAACAAACAAAAGTCAATTGGTTTAATAGTATATTATCTGAGAACTAACTAAGAACACTAAGTTTTCACTTTGTGAAACATATTTCACACGAATATCAATTATACGACTATAGTAGATTCGACCGTGAAAAAACCAGTTTATTCCATTTTTTCGCTTCATATAATATTAATAGACTCAGTCATCTACATTTACCCTTCAATGCTCACTAAACAACACCTTCCTTTTTATCGTTTCACTTGACTTCCGAATTAAAGAGGCCTCGCGACAACAACCCCCTTTTCGCATTGATCCCGAAAGAAAGGCCTCGAGAAAAAAATTAAGCGACTGCAGCCGTTCAGTGTTTTCAAACACCAAGCATTGTTTGTGATGAATTCTTCCCAAGCTTCGGAAGAGAAAAAGTCAGGTATGTGCAAAAAGCGTCAGTCGAGTGCGAAATCCTGCCGTTTCGAAAGGGGTGCGCCACAATGTATAGCCGTTTGAGGAAAAGATTTTTATCACTTTTCCGATGGCTTGTCAGTGTATACACGCACTACGTGAGTCCTTTCGAGTACTGCTTACGGTCTAAACAGAGATCTCCCTGTTTTGCGGCGCCTTCGATATTTTCTAGAATGCAGCTAAGCTTTGACGGTAAAATTTGGATGTTGCGCGTGAAGAGTTACTTCTGTGGTAAAGTTATGATGAAAATGAATAATAGTTTCGTACAAATCTACTAGCCATTTACTCTTTCGTTGGTCATTTTATCGATAAAACATATCGTTGTTTTTCGAATTTCACTTGTCAGATTCATTTTAAATTTGATAGGATGAAATAAAATAATGAATGCTTTAAAAGTATCATCACTCTACAATAACTCGACAATAAAAACCGCAACTGTAACCCATCGTAAATATAAGCGTCATTTACTGGGCCGAAAAACAGCCCGCAGTTAGAATCCCAAGGGCAAAATGTTTTCGTGCATAAATGGATACGCGCAGCAAGGAAACGAGAGAGAGAGAGAGAGAGAGAGAGAGAGAGAGAATATAAAGCGTGGAAAGTATAAGAATAACGAACGAGTTTGAGGCATACCATGCAAAAGTCGAATGAAACGAGAAATTAAAAGGAGGTGGGCGTGATTCTTAGGTTGTGCAAGCTCAAAGGCAAGTCTTTTGTTCATTAATCGGCAAGTTACACGTGCGTACATCTTGACGGGGATTTTACGTAGTCATACAATGTATGCGAATTCGCTCGACCGCAAATATTTGCCTTAGCAAACTTAGTTTATTGTTTTATTTTCTTCGCCTTATATCTATTTTTATTGGGAGATTTCAGTAGCATGCTTATCGTATTAATAACCCAACTCGACGGATAAACATCCATTCATTTTCCTCTCATTAATATAAGTTTGCGCGTGAAATTTATGCTGTCTAACATCGGTTTGCTGGCATTAAGAAATTAGAGATTCGCACTTATCGAGCTACATTATTATACGTTTGAAGCGAGGTTAAAAGACAATTTGGCGCAAGGCCATTTCTAGAGTGCACAGTGTGTCCTGGCGAGTTGCCCGGAAAATTATTTCCAACGGTCTGTGCATGCGTCCCGAAAAAAAAATTATATATATACATACCTATGCGCGCGCGCCACGTCAATTTTATGTTTACACGGCACTCTCCTGATTATCGGCGGTATTCGTCTCTATAAGTAACATTGGCGTAATTTATATGTATGCTTTAGAAAACGGCATCTTTCTCGCGCCTTTTTCCAATCTTGAATCTATTGCTCTATGAAATCTCCCCTTCCGTGGCTTGTTGGATTTCCCCTAGGGATGGTCAGTAACTGTGCATTGTTATTCTTTTCAATGGTGAAGGTTACAAGAGAGAGGGGGGATTATTGTGCGGACGGCAGAGTATAGAGGTAGGGATGCTTATTCAAAGCCTTTTCATGCAAAATACAAATAAATCGGTGTTTAAGCATGTATACTTTGTGGTCCGGGAGCTGGGTATGATTCCGTATGCACTTAAGAGGCGAAGGATAAAAACCATGTATTCCCATGTATTTTAACCCGCTGAATCCAATGGTGCCGGTTATTTTTACGGGAAATGGATAGGTTTTGTTTAAAACGCAATTGATTAAACAAATTATGAAAAAATACTTTTTTCGAACAGGACAATTTTATTTTAGGTAATTTGGACTATTTTAAGACGAAAAGGTCCTTAGTCGTTTTTTCGTAAAATGCATATTTACAAAGTTATGAATTTTTTAAGGTCGAAAATTGAGCATTTTTCACTATCTTTGCATGTTTATAACTTATTAACTATTGCATATTTTTCAAAACTTGACAAACCAATCTATTTTTCAAGATTTCCTCTATCGATTAACCATATTCAATGTTGGATTATCAAATTAGAAGCCGCTGTTATCGCAATTTACAAGTAGCGTTTTTTACGCGTTCAAGATACGCCGCGCACTACGCGTGCGGCGAGTTGCTGGTCTGCCGGGCGTTCGCCACTCGGTCGCTCGCCAATGTCCCCGCATTTCGAAACAAATAAAATATTGCTGATCATCTAAGTAAATAATCATTATTATTTAATTAACTTAATATAGTTCAATGATTGGAGTGGAAGGTCGAAACTTCATATTTCTATGAACTTATATGTCTTATTAACGTATGCGTCTAATGTAACAAACACACATAAATTTTATATCGCATGTTACTTATATTTCGATATCGATATAATTGTATTTATTATTATATGATATTTCGGAATATTACATAATATTCCGTCGTTCAATATTTTATAGAACTGTTAATGATTCTTTTTAAATATTCAAATATTTTCGCGCGCATCTTCATTCGAATAATTACCGCCGGGTGACGAATTCGTCCCAAGTTGTCGCTGTACCACTTGTTCTCGTACTACGTCATGTTGTTGTTTAGCGGCTCAAGTAGAGTGTATATCGTTTTGTTTATGTAAAAAACAAGATACATGTAAAAACAAATTTTATATCCCTAAGGAATAGAAAGGTAAAACAAACATATTGCTATTTTATTTATTTTGTTATATTCTGCAACATAAGGTATTTATGTTTTCCATGTATTATTGGTCGTGTCTTATTGTATGTAAAAAGACAAGATTTGACAAATCAATTATTGATTATAATAAGCCGAAACAAATCGCATTCGCGGTGAGCGACCGAGTGGCGAACGCCCGGCAGACCAGCAACTCGCCGCACGCGTAGTGCGCGGCGTATCTTGAACGCGTAAAAAACGCTACTTGTAAATTGCGATAACAGCGGCTTCTAATTTGATAATCCAACATTGAATATGGTTAATCGATAGAGGAAATCTTGAAAAATAGATTGGTTTGTCAAGTTTTGAAAAATATGCAATAGTTAATAAGTTATAAACATGCAAAGATAGTGAAAAATGCTCAATTTTCGACCTTAAAAAATTCATAACTTTGTAAATATGCATTTTACGAAAAAACGACTAAGGACCTTTTCGTCTTAAAATAGTCCAAATTACCTAAAATAAAATTGTCCTGTTCGAAAAAAGCATTTTTTCATAATTTGTTTAATCAATTGCGTTTTAAACAAAACCTATCCATTTCCCGTAAAAATAACCGGCACCATTGGATTCAGCGGGTCAAAATACATGGGAATACATGGTTTTTATCCTTCGCCTCTTAAGTGCATACGGAATCATACTCAGCTCCCGGACTATTGTGTTTGGATAGATTTTTTTCTAAGCAAAAAAAGCCACCTTTCGACTTAATTATAGCCTTGAATTTTCTGATAAATGTTTCACTTTAGAACATGAAACGTATGCGGATGCTTTTTCAAGTGTGAGCTAATATTACGATTATCGAACTAATAACGACAAATATCGTTGTGTATAAATAAGCGTAATACCTAGGTTTTTGTAAAATAAATTTCTCTAGTTGCAATATCAGAAGGAAACTTTGCTAAAAATATTATGATGGTCAATTCGTAAATTTGATAAAGAATAAGCGAAACCGACGCGTGAAAGCTCACGTGAGAATTGTACAGCTAACGAACAGCTATACGAAAACATTGTCTTGTTCAACAATACAAGTACAATACCTGCCATTTACCGTCCAAATAGATAAATGTCAAGTATCGTCTCACTCGAATTCATGCCAGTCGATTTTCCCAAGACACTTCTCGCTCTTCCGCGATCAAATTTATAACCATCAACATCACATGAAAGAAAGGTCATGCCATTTCTATGCGCCGAAACTTAGTGAAGTAAAAGAGTATAAACATGAAAAGATCATTCTCTTTTCAGAATCTAAGTGTCTCTTTTCTCTCTCGACGACGCCCTGCGGTGGGGGTGTACATCTTTCCTCGCATATAATACTTGTCACATGTGTTTGGACTTTCGACGCTCCAATTTCCCATATAACTTTTATGGAAGGGGTGGGGGGCGTATAGGTACGAGGGTGTAAGCCTGAGAAAGTTTTTCATCATACACTCGTTACATTTCTATTTGGATGTTTTATTGCCGCGATTAATGGATACTGTAAGATAAGTTATTGCATTCATTGCAGCGATAAAGCCTGTCAGTTTGTGAAGTATGTGTGAAAAAAAGTGTAATTAAGAAAAGAGCAAGTCACAAGATTTGAACAAATTGAATTGAGACTATTGATATTTTTTCAACCTATTCGAGTAAATAAACTGTACGAGTCGTGCGCATCAACTTTATTTTGCAAATGCAATGGAAATTTAGCTCCTCTCTGAACTTGTTGTACGAGAGGTTAAAGCTCATACGTTAAGAAGTCACGAAATACTTGGAAGCTCAGCCCATAAATAAGCCACCAATTACGCGAGTTGTATTTCAAAAGCATCTCAACGGACACCAACTCGATTTTTTTCACCAAAACTTTAATTTCTGTACAACGTCCGTATACAGTTCATTATTATATTCCAACACCGTATTCACATACTGTAACAATATTTTTTTCGATTTCCTCGTTTTTCCGCTTTCAAGAAATAAATCAGTGTCGCGGTCTATTTGATAAACCGCCCTGGCATCCCACAAGCTTTATATATTATTTCCTTTGGACGTTATGGTTTCGCTCGAAGAAACACCACGCGTCTTAATTATCCCGTTGCCTTGGCTTCCTTGTTGACGCGTGATTTTCGGCGCGAAACCTCGTCTTGATCTATAGGCTCTTTTGATGTTACGAGGACGAGGCTAATGAAGATTTTGTGGTGATGATTTTCATGGTAATTATGTTAACGAGATTATTTAATTATCCAAGAAAATTTTCATTGAATTTAGCTTATATTAATAAACAAGGTATCATCTAAATATCTAAGTGATTACACCAAATGTGAAATGAAATAGAAATAATTATATTTTTTCCAGATTCGTAAACTATTGAGTGTTGAATTGGAAACATTTACAGACGGAACAATGGTCTCTTATAGTAAAAGGAATGATTTTATGTTTATACCAAATGGATTGTCTGGCACAAAAAGGATCGCCTTTCATTACAAAAGGAACTGTTTTAGTATATTACTCTGAAAGTGCATAATTTTTAAATGAGTATAAACAAAATTCAAAATGAAACTCAACTATAAAAATGCATTACCACCATAACATTGAAAATAAAATAGGTAACTCAAATGAACGATATTAAGCAACGAAATTAAATTAACCACCTGAGCTATTAACGGAAGCGTCCTGCGATACGGAAGCCGTACAAACGTGCACAATTCGATGGTAGCCCATAATTATAAAAATAAAAGGCCTCAAAGCGTCGTCGGCGCGTACGGTAAATCAGGCGTCAGAACTGTTTGACAACCAGCGCTCCGCTTCTCCTTATTTTTTCCTCTCGGTTTTATTTTCATAGCGGAAGTGATCCTCTCTATTCGGTCTACTGGGACACACCGCAAAAAAGAAATGACGCCGCGCGTCTGCTTGTCCTTCTCCATTATCGTGCCGCCGCGCTGCACGTGTGACACTCATGCCATATGCACTTTTTCTTCTTGTTTTCATTGTGCGAGGAGTGCTTGAGTTTGGCTTTTGTATTAAAATTTCTTTTTCTCTTTATTTATTTATTTTTTTTTTTCGTGCGCATCGCGAGTTCATGCGGTTACCGTTACATATATGCAATCTCTTCTTTTTCTTTTACAATTGTCCGAAAATTGATAATGACACGCTCGATTAGCTTGTTAACAATGATAACAATCGTTATAAAAGAGAGGGACATATCTTTTGATTTTTATTCATGGTGTTTGCGAATGTATAGCGATGTACGCGAGATGAGAGGATCGCACTAGGAATGAGCAAAAATTTCTTTATTTTCCTAATGTTCCAAAGACTGGCGTGAGAATTAAAAAAATCCTTCTTAATTCTTTTATTGTATTATAAATCCTCCACGACTTTACAATTTTTATGAAAAAGCTATTTTGTCTTCTGTAGGCTAAAGCCGCACGATCAACGTCTACTATTAAATTTGTGAAATTGTCTATAAATTGATTTCGCATGTCAACAATACACACGATTTTACTTTGATAGTCATTTTCTGCAGTAAATACTTTTAATTAATGAACGTCTGTTAAATTGAGAACGTACTTGAAAATATTCGATAAGGCTACAGGTCCGCAACAACAGAAACATTTCTTAACAACAATTTTCATATAGTACAATTCATTGATATCTTGTACTGATGAGTTATTATGCTGCGGGTTCTCCCACCACGATATATGCTTGTAGTCTGTATACAACCCTGTAGGTACTGCCATATAATTTTCAAGGTATCCAAATTCACGGTAGATAATGATGAGTAATATACTATAATAAGAATACTTTCATATGACATTAATTTTAAGAACATATGTCGAGCACATTGAAAAATGGATTATTAAATATTATGTTTGAAAAAGCAAACATAATTTTAATGTTCACGTACAAAATTGTCATGGAAACGAAGCCTTGCTTATAAAATAAAAATAATAGCATATTAATAATTACGAATAATGTTAAAAAGCTCACATAAATCGTGTAAAATGCTGGTGATTGAATTGTATTACAGTACAGATTATCTTAATTTTTCCTACTTTTCTATTGGCTGTACGCTTCGACCGATTAATTGTGTCGCCTATTAGAAGCGCAACGAACCTTGCACATTACTATATAAACGTGTCATCTGACAATAGCTATTGCACAATTAATTCTATACGTTGACCTTTGTAAGCAAGCTTGAATCTAAATATGAAGACCGTTCTTCTTTTAGTAGTGTTTGCTTTAATCGGTAGGTACATTCTAATTTTATTTTAATATAGCTTTCACGATTCATTCATGTTTTTCGTGATAATTCATACATAAAAGTAATAATTTCTAACAAGTATTAAATTATACTTGAATAACAATGCGATAAAAATCATGTTATTTCAAATTATTTTTCTAGCAACATTTATGGAAAGTCTTGTCGACTCGCATCGCCAGTAAGTATTACAATAATTTACTATTGTTAAAGTTTACAATTACAATAACGTTATACTAATTATGTACTTTTATTTTCAATCCAGCCATGGATCCCACGGTGGCTCACAATATCCGTAAATATTTATCCATTATATCAAACAATATTCTGTCAGTTTTTTGTAACACTATCAATTTTTCCCATCTCAGGCCAAATCAACATTTTCCTCAACGCCCGTAAGTAATATTATTGGTATTTATTTCTATACAATGTCTTTAAAACTTGTACAAAGTTAACGATTACTTTTCCGTTTTTGTTTTCTAAAAAAGGCCGCATTATCCACCCGAGAAACCAGGTTCTAATTCAGGTCACCATTGGAATCAAGGGGGAAATCGACCAGGTCATCATTCAGGTCATCATTCTGGTCATCATGGAAAGCCAACTGCTCCACCGAATAATTATCCCGAGAACCAGCCAACTGCATCTCCTCCAGATAATTATCCGCCAGTTTGCCCAGCTTACTGTCAATGTAAATACCCAACTATGAAACCTCCAACTTCTCGACCTACTCCTCCGTCAGAGAACTATCCAACTGATCGGCCAACTCCTCGGCCTACTCCTCCGCCAGAAAACTATCCTACCGATCGACCAACTCCTCGGCCTACTCCTCCACCCGAAAACTATCCTACTGATCGACCAACTCCTCGGCCTACTCCTTCATCAGAAAACAATCCAACTAATCGGCCAACTCCACGGCCTACTCCTCCATCAGAAAACTATCCAACTCATCATCCAACTATTCCATCGCACAATAATCCGACTAATCCTCCTACTCACCATCCAACTAATCCATCACAAAACTATCCGACTAATCAACCTACTCAACGACCGACTACTTCATCACAGAACCATCCTACTTCTTCTCCAAATTATCCAACAGATAACTATCCTACTTGTAGCCCAAATAATTATCCAACTACACCACCTCATCAACCAACTTCTTCTACAGAAAAATATCCGACTAGTCCATCAAATAATAATCCAACTCATCGTCCATTTCATAAACCAACTCATCGTCCTTCTCACCAAACAACCAAAATTCCATCCAGTTTAACAGAAAAATATCCAACTCATCGCCCTTCTTTCCTTCCGAACAAAGATTTAACTGACAATAAAATATCCGACTAATCGTCTTTACTAATTACCAGATAATTAATAACCACTATTTTTTGTTTTCCAATTCACATGAGCGAAAGTTCTTTCCTGATATTCATAACTGAACTGTTCAAATAAACATTCAAATGAAAATAAATAGTGTAGCACATGAATTTTTTATGCAACTATCCGAAATAGTATTTTAAAACAATATTTTGAAATCAAAATAAGTTTGAAAGATATAAAAAATCATTATTAAACTATTCTGTGGGTGAATTGAGCATTTTGATTTTATCGAACATATTTTTTTTAGGTGAGTTTGAATGAAAATGGAATACGTATACTTCATTTTTCTATTTGATACCTACACAAACTGTCAGGGTTATGGTCAACGTTGTATTCTATAAAATAAGAATAAAAAAAATTTTAATGTGTAAATATTTATCAACTCAAGGTCCCTCCACTTAAATCATATTTATAGATGTATAGGTAACGAATTTGCTATATTATTTAGCCTAGGAAAAATATCATAATGCCGGTAAAACAATATAAATTTATAGAAAAGGATTGTAAACTAATTATGGCTCATTCTTATTTGAGGTAATAGTTTTTTTTTCGAAAAATAATTTTGGAAATGAATTGTAAAGGTATCTCTGGAATCTGACTTTTAATTTTTCAGCCTCATTGATTTTGATGATTTGTTTAATTATGCTTACAAGCTAGTTTTCAAGAATATTTTTATTAAAAATTACTATACTGATAAATTCACAATATTGTTAACATATTAATCTATCTGTATATATTGCACGATTTTTTATGCATATTCATTGACTAAACCTTGGAACAAAGATTATTTATCAATTATATATGCACACGAGAACCTTAATTATGGAAAATAAGTTTCGATTGTCATTGTAAAAATTTGTGATTGTATAAATTTTGGTTATGCCAGATAAATTATACATTTTTTAAACGTAAGAAACTTTGATTTAAAACAAGCGTTAAAGTGTCAAGCCGACGTCGTTGCCTTTGATTGGCTCAGGAAGTTAAAGAATCGAACCTTATATAACAGATCAGTCAATCTGTCTAGAAAAGAATTATTAGTTGTCGGTTCTGTTAGTCAGAACGAATGCATTTTACCGACTTTTGTATTTGGTTTATTCTATTATACAATTTTATTGATATAAGATATAAATTAAATTAATTATACATCAAATATACGAATAAGTCAAATAAGATTTCTAAATATAATATTGCAAGATCTTAATTTTGAAATGTTTATTAATTAATTTAATATAGTACATCGACTATTTGTTTGAGCCTGTCTACGGCAAATTTGAAATGACTAGCATCAACTGTTCTATCTAAGCGCTTTTGCATAAGCCTAATTCCTTGTTGAAGCATATTTTCGAATGCCACGTTGACCTACGAAATAACGTAAATTTTCATTTTATGGTATAAACGAGATTAACGAAAACAAAGCAGCGTTACTTACTTTTAGGAGATATTTATCAACAATTCTCCTAGTTTTTTCATCTCCTTTCAACTGTAGATATATATTTATAAAGTATGTAATAATAAATGCTATACATTTGAAAACTGGTGTTTTACGTTTACCTTATCTTTCTCAAAGAAGATGTTTTCTGCAATATGCTGCAGATCCTTCAATGAATCTCTAAATTGTTGTGATTCTAATCTGTTTTCAATATCTTCAAATACTTTTTTCAAGGCATTGAAAACAGTCTCATCCATCTTATAAATATGCGTATGTGTTAAATATGATCGATTTTTAATAATTCATGTAATTCAATATTTTACCTTGCTGAAAGATTTAGCAAAACTGTCCTTTATAGATCCAAATGTTGGAGGGATTATCTGTACACGTTTCAATCACAGTTTTTAATATAATATACAACATATGCTTTAATCGAATCAATAAACTAGTACGAACCTCTGATGATTCATTATTGTCATCTTCTTCACTTTCATCACTTGCATGATGTTTTCGATCGACATGTAGAGCCTTAAGGTTTTTACAACGATTATTAATAAAATAATAGTAGCAGTTCAAAATATGTAGATACAGGTGGATGAAATCTTTGTTTATTTAAACAGAAAGTAAAAAAGATACTTCTAAACATTTCTACCATAAACTTTCTTAATACCATTCCATATTTTCCAGGGACACGACTAATTCTATCAAGGTATATAATCGTTTAATTAGAAAAGATAAATATAAAAAAAAAATATTTTAATAAGCTCTAAGTTGAAATTGAGGTTCATTGCATTGTTCTGTATCTATAAAATATTGAAAAAAAATGTTGTAGATACTATGCAAACTCACAAAAATGGTCGTGGAGCTGATGAGGACAATAAGGAGTAGTTTCAACATTATTATTTTATGTTTTCTTGAATCACCTTTTCTGTTCTTCTGATAACTAAACTGAGATCGAAAAAAATTTAGAATTTACTTGTATTAATAAAAGGCAGAACTTATCTTAACTGTGCTAATAAAGACTTAAGTTGACGTAATCAAATATGGAAATTATTATTTGACTTTCATATCATTTTTAATCTTTGGCATTGAAATTTTTTTAAAATAAACTTTTTATTTAAGGAAATAAAAGCATTTTCATAATAAGTTTAGATAGAAAAGTGATTTTTTAACTATTTATTTATTTGATCAAGAAGATTTGAATGAAGTTAACGATTAAATTATTTTATAACTATTTTATATGATTAATTTAAAACAAAAAAAAATTAACGAAATTCGTATGATTAATTTAAATAATTAATATCCATTCTAGAAAAGTGGAAAAATATTATTATTATTATTATTATTATGCTAACATTTTATCATTTTATTGTTACAGCTGGCACTTCAGTTATCCAAATTTTGCTTTTACTTCATGATGAAAAATTAATTCAAGGCTACCAATCATGTTATTCAAAAGCTTCATTATTACATCATTATGATTTACGACATGATACAAGATATTTGAATACTTGCTAATTTTGTATATTTCGAAAATACTTAAAAAGTATTATTTATCGTTGCAATGACTTTGAATATGTATATAGGATAGACGAATGAAGCAAGAGCAGGGATGCGGGTATATCTTTTTATTGTTTGAAGAGAGCGCTGGGAGTAGTGGATGTATAATATATTAAGACTTGACAATAACTCCACCTCTACGAGAATCTAGTTTGGCTGTTATAAATTTCTCGTAGCTGTTGATCGTCTTTGTACACACCAGATCATTATACTATCCTTAGAACAACATTTTTGAACAGCGTAAACTTGATTGCCGGATTGCTTGTGGGTAGTTTCACACGTCACAGAATTAGAATTGTGAGTAAAGAGAACATTGAATCATAATATTGATAATTTCTGTGTAATATTTGTAGATTATTAGTATTAGCTTTCTAAAAAATCAACAGAAATGAACAGAAATTGGCATTGAGCAATGACAAGTACAACAATTGAATACCAATAATAGCAATGAGAGGATAAGACTGAAGTTATAGGTATGTATATGGAATATCGCATGGTATGCCGAAGGACATTCAGCGATTGTTTACCCTGTGCTATGCGATGGCACCTTTTCAGTTTTTCTCGCAGTAGAGAGAGGTCGAGTGGACGATGCCACCTGGGCACACTCCCCTCCTATAATATGCGAACAGAGCGCGTATCTTGTGGGAAATTGAGAGAAAAATCAGCGTGTTTGGCGCGTCGGCGCCGCCGATCCTAATTGAAATTTATGGCGACGTGTCTGCCATTGTCCGTTGTCTTTTCACTTCTGTGCATGCCTCCGCCGACTCTGTACTCGATTTTCAAGCGTGAAGTATAGATCGCTGCTGCACTTTCTTGTCTATCGATACGGAGGCCCTTGTGTTCGACGACGCTCATGCGTACATGCAATTTATGCATTTTTACGTGACTTGTCGTCATTTCTCCGTTTCCGTTGATACTTGAGAACGCATAACTTAGTATTTTCAATACGTAAATTAGTGTAAATAATAGAGGAAATGAAAAAAATAAAATATAGTTATATTTGGAATCGGTAAACAGTATTTTGAAAATATACTTTTAATTTAACGTTACAGATACTATTTTGGGAAGCATTACTTTGATGACTGCGTACGTTTATATGTATAGAGAACAGAAAATAAAATAAATTAGAGACCTACAGAACGTATTCGAACCATTTAATGCTCCCCGATAATCAATATAAGGAAAAAATTCATTATAAATATACCGGAACATAACTACGTCTGATAACTAAAGTAACTTACTAAATACTGACCAAAACCATATGTATAAAAGTATTGCTATTATACATTTGTCTTTCATCAAATTCATAAAGCTGATGATAATTAACTATTTGTCTTACGTTCTTGATGTAATAGATTTCAATCGCCGTGTATACTGAAAGAAGAGAATGAAGGTGTATCATCATTATTACTTTCGACAATTAATCCGGTTTAAACTTGCATAGATGAATAATGACGGCGTGCGAGTTTCCTAAATGTTAAATTAATATTTTTATTTGCCAAATTATTAACAACGTGTAAACTTGATATAATGCGAAACTTACGAAGTAGAGGTAGCTAATTTCAAACAGTAATTTTTATTTCTATATTACAAGCGTTTTTTTTTGTTATTCATTTATTGTTGTGTACTTACCTCACAAAATGTTACATGTTCTTACATGTGGCTTTCTAATTTACATGATCAAATAATCGTTTTATATTTTATTTTTTATATGTCGGTATGTAACAAATACTATTTACGTACAAAAATTATAATGTAAATGAATAATATGTTATTTTTATTGATCAAAATAGTTCCTGAGTCGTAAAATAATATAAACTCACTCACGATATTTCTCTGAACCGTGGGAAAGATTTTTATATAACGTGGTAATTTATTATCAATGTTACCATATAGTAATGAGTTATCTGTAGATACATTCTACTTTAGTCTCTGCTTCACCATTGCAATATCATACATATATGGCTCTAGATTTTTA